TCGGGTCAGCAGTCCTGCCCAGAAGAAAGGTAGAAGGGGGACACCCATCAGGAAAACCCTCCTCTTTTTCCCTGGTCCCCTATTTTTCAGATCTCCAAGCCACCTGCCCATCCCTTGTCACTGTCACTTCACAGACGTTTCTTCTCCCGGGAACTAGCTCAGAGGACAACCAGGGAGACCGAGACGGGCGTTCCCTGTCCTGTGCGTGTTTGGAGTATCAGCACCAGCAGCGACACAGGCCCAGAGAGAGGGGGTCTTAGGGCAGCTCTTCGTGGGGAGTAGGGGTGGTTGGCGGGGCTCTGCCCCAGGGTGGCATGTTGCAGCTCAGTGGGCTCTGGGGGCAGGATATGGGGATAGCGGGTGTGCCTTTGGGTTAGAGATCCTGTCTGTACCCACACGAGTCAAAGCTGGTTCTGAGAAACATTCCTTGTCACTCGCCCATCTCCGTTTCTAGGTGGGTTTTGGGCGGTGAGCACCCTAGTATATAAACCTTTAATGGAGCTGCTCTGATTTCTAAGCACAGTTACTGGAAGAGGGATGGCTGGTCTGAGGATAGGTACGCCTTTGACACTGATGGCCACTCTCAGGTGGTTGTCAGGCCCTCAGTCCTTCCAGCAGATGCGATACTGTCCCCAAAGCCTCTGGACGTTGGACATGATTAGCTGCCTTCGTCTTTACCTCTTCGGCCTTCACCGCCTTCTTTTTTGACAATATGGGCGACTTACATTATATTTTCATTTGCCTGACGAGTGAGATTGAGCATATTTTCATAGACCAATTGGCCATATAAATGTGCCCTTCTGTGAATATCTTCTTGGAAGGATTTCAATAGATAGAAAGAGCAGGAAAAGCCCGGCCGGGCGTGGCTCAGTGGCTGAGCATTGACCCAGGATCCGGGTAATGGGTTCGATTCCTGGTCGGGGCACAGGCCTGGGTTGCGGGTTCGATCCCCAGTCGGGGGCATGCAGAAGCAGCCGATCAATGACTCTCATCATTGATGTTTCCATCTCTCTCTCTCCTTTCCTCTCTCTGAAATCAATAAAGACATATTTTTTTAAAAAAAGAAGGAAAGAGCAGGAAGGGATGAGAGTGGGAGAGGATTTCAAGTGAAAGCAGGGCATGCCCGGGGGCACCCAGTGTTCTGGAAGCTGCAGAGAGGTTGGGTGGCAGGAGGTCAGAGAGGTTGGGTGGCAGGAGGTCAGAGAGGTTGGGTGGCAGGAGATGTGGCTGCAAAAGTAAGGAGCTGCCAGCTCTGGAGGCCTCACACCCCCACTGAGCACTCAGATCCCCCCCATTGGGCCAAGGTGAGGTCTGGGGGTTCTCTTCAGGGAAGTTATGCCAACGTGGCTTTAGAAGAAAGAGGGAACAGCACATGCTGGTGACTGAGAAACTGGATCAGCTTAGTGAAGGAATGAGTTACTCGGGGCCTGAACTAGGTTAGTGGCAGTGCGACTGGAAACGGTGAAGGAGGGCATTGACAGGATACGGAGCAGGGGGAGAAGGGACACCACTGTGACTCTGTGGCTTGCTGTCCTGGTTATTTGTGGACACCAGGAGGAGCAGGGCAGGGACAAGCTCTTATTAACCCTTTGCGGACTGTATCTTCTCAGTAGCTCTCTGAGGTTGAGGGTAAGCAACGAGGGAGCTTAGGTGATCTACCTAAGAGGAGCTACTTTGGAGGGAAAAAGAATAAATGTTAAGACTTCCTTAGTTTTAGAGACTGCTGCCAGTCGGAGGGTGGGCTCTTTCACAGGGGCCTTGCACTTAGTTACGTCAGGACCAGGGCCTTTCTGTCCATGGCCTGGGGGAGGCACGGTGTCTGTGCCAAGGGCTTTTTCAAGGGCCCATAGAAACACCTGAGAACTCCATATAATACTAATTAGTATTTGTATAGACTCCAAAATTATGAAAACTCTAAGATCAGAATCAATAAATGCTCGATCCATTGTTTGTAAAATCTGACATTAGGTTAGGTTTTTTTCNCCATATAAATGTGCCCTTCTGTGAATATCTTCTTGGAAGGATTTCAATAGATAGAAAGAGCAGGAAAAGCCCGGCCGGGCGTGGCTCAGTGGCTGAGCATTGACCCAGGATCCGGGTAATGGGTTCGATTCCTGGTCGGGGCACAGGCCTGGGTTGCGGGTTCGATCCCCAGTCGGGGGCATGCAGAAGCAGCCGATCAATGACTCTCATCATTGATGTTTCCATCTCTCTCTCTCCTTTCCTCTCTCTGAAATCAATAAAGACATATTTTTTTAAAAAAAGAAGGAAAGAGCAGGAAGGGATGAGAGTGGGAGAGGATTTCAAGTGAAAGCAGGGCATGCCCGGGGGCACCCAGTGTTCTGGAAGCTGCAGAGAGGTTGGGTGGCAGGAGGTCAGAGAGGTTGGGTGGCAGGAGGTCAGAGAGGTTGGGTGGCAGGAGATGTGGCTGCAAAAGTAAGGAGCTGCCAGCTCTGGAGGCCTCACACCCCCACTGAGCACTCAGATCCCCCCCATTGGGCCAAGGTGAGGTCTGGGGGTTCTCTTCAGGGAAGTTATGCCAACGTGGCTTTAGAAGAAAGAGGGAACAGCACATGCTGGTGACTGAGAAACTGGATCAGCTTAGTGAAGGAATGAGTTACTCGGGGCCTGAACTAGGTTAGTGGCAGTGCGAATGGAAACGGTGAAGGAGGGCATTGACAGGATACGGAGCAGGGGGAGAAGGGACACCACTGTGACTCTGTGGCTTGCTGTCCTGGTTATTTGTGGACACCAGGAGGAGCAGGGCAGGGACAAGCTCTTATTAACCCTTTGCGGACTGTATCTTCTCAGTAGCTCTCTGAGGTTGAGGGTAAGCAACGAGGGAGCTTAGGTGATCTACCTAAGAGGAGCTACTTTGGAGGGAAAAAGAATAAATGTTAAGACTTCCTTAGTTTTAGAGACTGCTGCCAGTCGGAGGGTGGGCTCTTTCACAGGGGCCTTGCACTTAGTTACGTCAGGACCAGGGCCTTTCCGTCCATGGCCTGGGGGAGGCACGGTGTCTGTGCCAAGGGCTTTTTCAAGGGCCCATAGAAACACCTGAGAACTCCATATAATACTAATTAGTATTTGTATAGACTCCAAAATTATGAAAACTCTAAGATCAGAATCAATAAATGCTCAATCCAGTGTTTGTAAAATCTAACATTAGGTTAGGTTTTTTTTCTTTACTTTATAAGAATTCTCTATTATGCACATATTTAGTTTACACTTAACCAAATATTTTTATAAGCAAATATACACAGACCTGTGTGTATTTCTATATCTGCATATACATATATAATAAATAATTGAATACTCATAAATGTAATAAGTAACTGAAAGACACTTAACCTATGTAATTTCTTTAATCCTCAGGACAACCTTACGTGGTAGATCCTATTATCCCCACTTAATGAGTGAGGAAACTAAGTCTGAGATGAGTTGCCTGATCTCACAGTTAGTAACAGCAAAGCTGAGATTCAGACCCAGGCAGCCTAACTCCAGAGCCAAACTTATAATCACTTGAGAATGAGCCTGTTCTCTGACAAAGGAAATAGAAAGCAGTAAGTGCCAAAGATAAAATCGTAAGGAATACCTACATTTCCAGAAAAGGTAAGAGCAGGGTAGAAAGCGAGTGGTTCAAGGAGTGGCAGATGATGTTAGCTTGGGTAGTAAGGCTAGAAGTGGTGGGAGCCCCAAGGACCAGGAGAGCAGTACTGTCCAGGGCCACCAAATGGGGTGGTCCGTGAGGATGACAAGCCCTGGGAGTATGGAAACACATCTGTGCTTGGGGAATTGTTTCAGTGAAGAGCATACAGTGGAGGTCAGACTATAGAGTGTCCTCAAGTGGGGAGCTCATGTGAAGGAGCAGAGGATTTTTGTGAGTACATATCCACAGACATACACACCTTCCTCCACCTGGACAGGTGCAAGTGAGGATTTGCTATCATTTCATAACTCCTACCTTCTGCTTGTCTGGGACATGGACTCAGAGGACCTTGCTTTCCTCTTCGCCAGCCTGCGACTGTGGCCAAAGCACCTTCTCGAGGACTCAGACTTTTCAGACTGAAATTCTGGGTGCCCCAAGCTGGGGTTAATGAGATTAGTGTGGGAGCCAAGTCGGGTGGAGTGGGGGCGGGGGAGCTGCATGCTGCACGACTGTATTAGTTTCCGGAGGCTGTGGGAACAAATGACCAGAAACTAGGTGGCTTCAACAATGGAATGCTATTCTCTCACAGTTCTGGAGGCTGAGGAGCATTCAATCCAGGTGCTGGCAAGGTTGTTCTTTCTGGAAGTTCTGAAGGAGCATCTGTTCCATGCCTCTTCCTAGCTCCTGATGTTTGCACCTATCTTCGGCATCCCTTGGCTTGCAGATGCATCACTCCAGTCCCTGCATCGTCTTCTCATAGCATCCTCCCCTGTCTATCGGTGTCTGTGTCCAAATTTCCTCTNCACCTATCTTCGGCATCCCTTGGCTTGCAGATGCATCACTCCAGTCCCTGCATCGTCTTCTCATAGCATCCTCCCCTGTCTATCGGTGTCTGAGTCCAAATTTCCNTCTGTGTCCAAATTTCCTCTTCTTATGAGGATACCAGTCATTAGATTAGGGCCCCCTCAAATCCAGTCTGACCTCATCTTAACTTGATCACATCTGCAAAGACCCTGTTTCCAAATAAGGTCCCATTCCCAGGTTCTGGGGCTTAGGACTTAACCGTATTTCTTTGGGGACACATTCTTTACCTCTGTTTGTTTCCTTTGGTGTTTCCAGCCCTTTTAGTGTGACCCCAAGAGTTTAAGAAGACAGAGTGCAATGGGGTCTCCTAGGTTGGAGACACTGCACCCTGGTGAGTGCCGGAGTCGTTTCACGAGGTCAGTCTCATCTGTGTGATGGGAAGAATTGCCCCAGCTGGCAGAGGAATGACATTCGTGGCCTGTTGGTTGGTTGGCTGATTTGTTTATCTATCCTTCACTAAGCTGAGTCTTTGCTTTCCTCTCTACAGAAGCCATAGCCATGGCGACCCCCTCGGCTGCCTTTGAGGCCCTTATGAATGGAGTGACGAGCTGGGATGTCCCTGAAGATGCCGTCCCGTGTGAACTGCTCCTTATTGGAGAGGCCTCCTTCCCAGTGATGCTGAATGACATGGGCCAGGTCCTCATCGCTGCGTCCTCTTATGGCCGAGGCCGCCTGGTGGTGGTGTCCCACGAGGACTACTTGGTGGAAGCCCAGCTCACTCCGTTTCTCCTCAATGCGGTGGGGTGGCTTTGTTCTTCCCCCGGGGCTCCCGTGGGTGTCCACCCATCCCTAGCGCCGCTGGCCAAAATCCTCGAGGGCTCTGGAGTGGAGGCGAAGCTTGAGCCAGAAGTGAAGGACTCCCTGGGGGTTTACTGTATTGACGCCTACAACGAAACCATGACGGAAAAGTTGGTCAAGTTCATGAAACGTGGAGGAGGCTTGCTCATTGGAGGCCAAGCCTGGGATTGGGCCAACCAAGGCGACGATGAAAGGGTTCTGTTCACGTTCCCCGGGAACCTGGTGACCAGCGTGGCGGGCGTGTACTTCACTGACAACAAAGGAGACACGAGCTTCTGTAAAGTGTCTAAGAAGATGCCCAAGATTCCCGTCTTAGTTAGGTGAGTGCACTACCCCAGGGGGGAGCTGGTCCCAGGTTAAAAAGTGGACACTGTTCTTGTGTTCAGGTTACTCCCAGGCTAACAGAAGAGAATTTGGCGGATTTGCCATAAATCAAGCAGATTTTTAATGTACCCCGAGTCACAGGAGGGGCAGGATCTCTTGGAGGGGAGAAATTTCTTTGTGACTACTATGTCCCTCAACATTGAGCTTAATAAAACGCGTGATGATCCCGGAAGGCTCATAGGAGGAGGTTGCTTGCAGCTGAAAAGTGAGGAAAAGGGACCCCCTCAGACAGCCTTGAGAGCTGTGGCAAAGGTTTCGAGATGTCTGGCCAGGTGGGATTAGGACGGCAGTAAGAAGCTGAGATGGCACAAGTTATCTATGCTGAATCTAGGAGTTAGGAGAGGATTTTATTTATTTATTATTATTTTTAAAATATATCTTTACTGATTTCAGAGAGAGGAAGGGAGAGAGAGAAATATCAATGATGAGAGTCATTGATCGGCTGCCTCCTGCGCGCCCCCTACTGGCCGGTGCTCAGTAAACATCTCTTGGGTGGCCGGTTGGATGGAGGGATGAGAGAGATTGGAAGCTGGAAGTCCGGGAATAGAAAAAGTGCCCCAGGCCCCGCCCTGTATTGTACATGAAAACTCTCAGCCGTGGTATTTCTGACGCGTGGGAGCAGAGGAAGGTAGGACTGGGTGCGGAGGGCACACCAGGGTTGGTAGAGAGATGGGATGAATGAGCGGTGGCCTCTCCCTGGCCTGGAACTCCCAGAACATCCCGCAGCTCCATGCTCACATGTGCAATGAAGGACACCGTTATCCAGAGGCATAGTGGCCGATGAAGCGGGCCCAACTTCAGCGTGCCAGTGATCTTGAGCCCGAGCAATGGGAAGGCAACACTGGGCCATGGTTCTGTCTCTTACCAGCCTAATCCCTCCCCCTTGGTTGCCTTAAAAGATGTTTTGTTTTGTTTTTTTCCTGCCAAAACCACACCTCTCTGTTCTTTGGCTGTGCCTAAATCACCTCTCATCACCAGTGATGCCGATCGGGCGGGTGGTTGGGTTGTCTGTCTGCGTGTGTGTGTTGGATGCACGCACATGTGTGCGCGCCCGCATGAAATCAACCTGAAGGCTAACGCTTGAGAGAAAAAATCTGATTTATTAAGGGAAGTAGACAGAATCTGTTGTTGGAGACGACGGGCTGTTATATCGGTTACTCGCTAGGTAAGATCGCATCGCAGCCTCGTTGCGCATGCAGGTAGGTACAGTGCGTCACAGCATCGCTTACACATTAGGCGGGTGATTTTCTGACTTGTGGGTGAACTGAGGACGGCAACAGTGATTTTCCTGAGCTAACTGGCTGAGATGAAGAAAGCAGGAGAAAGTACAAGGTGCAACAGTGTGTGTAAGAGAGAGAGAGAGGAAGGGATACATGAAATAATAATTAAATGAACAGTGGGCAGCGGGGAAGGGAGAAAACAAATCCTCTCCCCCCACCACAGTGTCCTTGCTCTTAGCTCTCAGGTGCCCGATGCGGAAAGGGAAGCACTGAGCTCTCTCTCCCTCCCTGTTTTGGGGGGGGCAAAACTATATACATTTATCAAAATGCATGAACTGTACACCTAAATCAAGTTCATTTTACTCTATGTGAATTAAACTGCAATAAGCCTTTTAAAAAAAAATCGGTTCTTTGAATAGGACTTTGAAAAATAAAAAAATAATCGGGATATCATCAGATTCATGTTTAAGGATGTGCAGCTCAGCATTATTTGTAATAGGGAACAGTCGAATGGTTGAATAAATTACAAAATTAGTAACCAACCATTAAACATTTGTTTAGAGAGTATTACGTAAGAAAAAGGCCAACATATTGCTAATGGGTAGATCTCTGGGGTGTGGGATAACGGTAGATGATTTTTACTTTTAAACTTTTATTTTCCAGAGTTTCTATCAAACTTTATTAATAAGGCATATATTTCATTACCTTGCTTCACATGTAAGAACATTAAAAGACAAGAAAAATAGTGTACCTCTAAGAGATAATAGTGTACCTCTGAAAGATAAAGACTAATTTTTAAATGTAACCACAACACTGTTAAATACCTTTTTTAAATAGCATTTTTTCTGACGTAACAAAATATCAGTAACGATATCATTTTCTGAGGGCATTCTGTAAGTATCTCAGTTTATTTTGTACATATCTTTATATTCATCGATTAGGTCAACTGGATTATTCATATTTTTGTGCTAGCTTTGGCAGCACGTATACTAAAATAGGATTGATAGTATTTGACCTAAGAGTTCCCAAACAATTGCTTCATATCCCCATTGTGATTTTGGGACTGAATTTTACTTTATATATTTCAAAGCTATATTTTGGAGTTCTAAAAACTTATAAATTTTTTTGTGGTTTGTACATTTTCCTCTGGTACAAAATATCCTTCTTTCTTGCAACTAATATTTTTCACATTGAACTCGATTTTGTCCAACATTATATTTACTATTCCTATCTTATTTACTTTCTTTGTTGATCCTTTTGAAAAAGTCTGTGTTTTTTTTTTAGCATCAACCTGATTAACGCAATCAGAGAGCCTTTGTCACTTACAAGGGAAAAATTCATTTATATCGGTGAGGAAATTGATGTTTGTTGTAGTTGCTGTCATCTTGCTCAGTGTTTTCTGTTATACTTTCTCGTTTCTTGTTTTTAAATTTTTTCTCTATTGGTTGAATTATTGTTGTTTTTTTTTCCTTTCTCACTATTTGGAAATTACAGCTTTTCTGTTCTTTCAATTTTTAATTTTCCCCCCAGCTCTTTATTTAAAATTTTCCACACTTATGGGAAAATTTGTAAGAATAATATAACGATAGCCATACCCTTCATCTAGATTCACCAGTGGTTAGGTTTTGTCACATTTACTATGGAAACACACAGGGACAGGTTACTTCGCTTAACCACTTGAGAGTAACCCTCTGGACACCCCGACGTTTCCCATCTAAACTCTTCAGCATGTATCTCCTAAAGATAAGGGCATCCTCCAGCACAACCGCGGCACAGTTGTCTCACTCAAAAAATGTCACACTGAAAAAATACTGTTACCTAGTGTCCATATTTAAATGTCTCCAACTGTCCCAACAGTGTCTTTTTTAAAAATGAAGGATCCAACCGAAAGACTTCCCAGCTTTTCTTATCTTTCAGGATATTAGCATTTTTGAAGCATCCAGCCCCCTGTTGTTTCGTGGAATTACCCCTCAGTCCGGATTTGCCTCGTTGTTTTCTCATGACTTACACCCAGCTCAAACATTTTTGTCAAGAACACTACACGGGTGACATTGTGTTTATCACAGTATATCACACTGGGAGGACTTGAGGTCAGTTTGTCTGTTATTAGCGATGTTTGAACTGGTCATTTAGTTAAATTGGAGTTTGCCAGATTTTCCTATTGTAATAGTGCCTTTCCCCCATTTAACTAACTTCATCGATGGGATGACTATTCGAGACTATTAATACCCTGTTCAACAACCTTTCACGCAGGGGTTTCATCACCCATTGATGATTTGTGACTGTCAGGATTTACAAAAGTGGTTCCTTCTACCACTCAGGCAGCTCCTGTGCTCCTTCCTTAACATTCATGTCAAGCGTCCCCTCCTCCAGACACTGCCCCTCCCCTCCTAGTCTAATCGAGATGCCCCTCTTCTGGGGGCCCAGAGCAGCCTGACACTCCAGGACTTGCCCCAGCAGAGTGTAGGTTTACTCCTAGGTGCCTCCCAGAACTGGGTGCATGCTTCTCTCCGGAGGAGCTTTCCCTCCCCACCCTCATAACATTTGTTGTGGCCCTGTGGTTGCTTTTAAATTTCGTTTGTTTTAGTACTACTCATGGACCCTTTTTTTTAAAGAAAGCAAATGTGTTATAATTTATTTATAGTTGGTATTTTTTCAAGGCCCAATCGTCCCAAATTTGGCAAGTTAAAATCCCCTCTAAACTGAGTCCTGAGCCCTCTGGCATGCTCCATCAGTTCTTTAGTACTTGACTTTTGATAGATCAAGATGTTGCAGGTTTACCTTGTCTTTTTCCTGTCCAACACCTGGATTCAGCCATTTCTTCGAGGAATCCTGGTCCTTTTAGTCGTGCATGGTATTTAGAAACCAAGCTCATCTAGGTGTGCTCATTGCCATTCAACTGTCATCATTTCCAGACCCCTACGAAGACAGAGCCAAGAAACATATACGTTTTCATCCTAAATCCATACCGATGCTTCCCGTTTTAACCCCAAACCACAGAAGTCCCCTCCACCACCCACCCCCCGTCTATACCTTCCTCTCCCATTGGGAGATCCTGCTTTCCAACAACTTCAGTATGTGCTCATGTGCTCAGCCCTGCAGTGCCCACAGGACAACTTCATGGTTACTGTTCCCATCCGATTACCAACAGCAAACTCACTAAGTTAAGCCCAAGATTTTTTTTGTAGTTTTTTTTTGTTGCTGTTGCTGTTCTCAGAATATACTGCACGCAGAGCACAGAAAGTAGTCTGTTCATTTGGTCCTATTTTTGTTTAAAGTGAGCTTCCCCCATATTTGTTGATTCCGTGTTAATTTTTGGATGTGTAAACTGTGAACAAGGTTACAACAGCAGAATGCACGTTCTTTTTAAGTGCACATGGAATATTCATGAAGCAAGACCATATGTTATGCCATAAAACGTCTCGACGAGAGTAGAAGGATTGAAATCATGCATTGTACATCCTGATCACAGCGGCATTAAGTTAGAAATCAATAACATGAGCATATCTGGAATACCTAAATATTTGTAAATTAAATAACACAAATAGTAAGTCAAAGAAGAAATTACAAAGGGACGTTAGAAAATATTTTGAACTGAGTAAAAACAAAAACACAGCATGTCAAAATTTGTGGAATGCAGTTAAAACAGTGCTTAGAGAGAAATTTAAATGCTTTCATTAGAAAAGTGAAAAATTTAAGCTTGATGGCCTAGGTTTCCACATCGACAAGCTAAAAAATAAGAAAATCAAATTAAACCCAAAATTCGTAAAAGGAAAAAGAAGATAATGACAAGAGCTGAGCCCTGGCCAGTTTGGCTCAGTGGTTAGAGTGTCGGCCCTCGGACTGAAAGGTCTCCAGTTTGATTCTGGTCAAGGGCACATACCTCAGTTGCAGGCCTGATCCCTGGCCCCACTTGGGGTGCATGTGCGGGAGGCAGCCAGTCGATGTGTCTCTCTCACATTGATGTTTCTCTCTTTCTCTCCCCCTTCTACTCTCTCTGAAAAAGCAATGGAAAAAAAAAGATGAGAGCAGAAATCAATGAAATAGGAAATAGAAAAACAATAGAAAAAAACAATAAAACCAAAAGCTGGTTAGCAGAAAAAAATATATATGATAAATCTTTAAGTATACTGGTTACGACAATAAGAGAGAGAACACAAATTATAAATTCCAGGAATGGAATAGGGACAATAATACAGATCCTACAGACATTAAAAGGATACTAAGGGAATATTATACCAACTTTATGCCAATAAATTTAACAACTTGGGTGAAATGCACAAATTTCCTGACAGATAAAAACTACTAAAATTGACACAAGAAGAAAAAGAAAATATATGTTAAGTGAGTTGAGCTGTAATTAAAAACATTTCAATACTAAATGCAATGTGGTAGCCTGGATTGGATCCTAGAAAACATGAGTGGGAAAACTGGTAACATTTGTATAAAGTATGGAGTTTAGGTAATAGTATGTTACCAATATTAACTTCTTAGTTTTGACAAATGTGCTGTGATTATATAACATGTTCAAATTAGGGAAACTGGGTGATGGGTATATAGGAGCTCTCTGTACTATATTGTCAACTTTTATATTTTTTACTTAAAAATTTTTATTTAAAACCAACTACAATGCAAAAAAAAAAAAATCCCAATTAAAAAAACTCCAGACCCAGATAGCATCACTGATGAATTGTATCAAACATTCAAGGAACAAATAATACTAACCTTACATGAACTCTTCCAGAAAATAGGAGAGGAGGAAAATTGTGGGAACTTTATTGATTAGACCAGTATTTCTCTGGGACCAAAACCAGAGAAAGACATTACAAGAAAACTGCAGAACAATATGCTTCATGAACATAGGTTTTAAAAATTCTTTTAAAAAAATACTGTAAATAGAATATAGCAATGTATGAAAAGGATAATACAGCATGTGAAGTAGGGCTTATCTTAGGACCGTGCGGCTGATTTAACATTCAAACATCAAATTAATTCACCATCTTAACAGAATGAGAAAACCATATAATTCAACACATGCACACACAGCACTTAACAAACTTTAATACCCAATCATGATAAAATTTCGGCAAACTAGAAATAAAAAATGAACTTCTTCAATGTGTCAGGAGTCATCTCTGAAAAACTATAGCTAAGAGTGTACTTAATGGTGAAATACCCTAAGACAGAGAACAAGGCAAGTAAGAATATCTGGCCTCACTACTTTCAGTCAATATTGTACAAAAGTTCCTAGCCAATGCAATAAGGCAAATAAATGAAGGCACAGAGATTTAAAATTAAGAAGTAAACCTATGCTTATCTGCAGAAAGCATGATCATCTATGTAAAAAATTTCAATCTACAAAAAAGTTATAATAGTTGAGTTGTGCAAAGTTGCAGGAGACAAGGTCAACGTTAAAAAAGCAATTATATTTTTATACACTAGCAGCCAAAAAATGGTTACTGAAATGAAAAATACCATATCACTTAAAATAGGACCCAGAATCATGAAATGCTAGTGGATTTAACAAAATATGTTACTAGACATGTATGTTGAAAACAACAAAACATTACTGAGAGACATTTAATAAAACCTAAAGAAATACACCATGTTGATGGATCAGAACACTCAATATTTTTAAGATGTCAGTTTTTTCCCAAATGGCATATAAATTCAATGCCATCCCAAGCAAAGTTATAATTGATTCTAAAACTGTATGCAAATGAAAGGAACTAGCATAACCTAATTTCAAGACTTACTAGAAAGCTAAAGTAATCAAACCACTGTGGTTTTGGCATAAGGGTAGATACACAGATGAATGAAACAGACTAGATAGTTCAAAAATAGGCCCACAGTTTTATGCTCAATTATTTTTTGGCAAGGGGGAAAGAGAATCTTTTTAACAGATGGTTCTGAAACCCTTATGGGGGGAAAAAACGTGAATCTTGAGATTTATCCCACTCCATACAAAACGAGTAATTAAAAAGTGATCTAGACTTAAGTGCAGAAGTTAAAATTCACTGTTTTTCAGTGTTTCCTTGCAGCTGCCTTCTGACCATACAGTTGCCACAACCTTACCTAATACAAGTATCATAACAGCTCTGGGGTCTCAAGCTTATAGAGGTCACTCTGCCCCTTATCACCTAATAACCCCAAAGTCTCCATCTCCATTTCGGACAGGAACAGATGGTGCTCAGAAAAACCCGTAGAGCATGGATATGCATCACCCCGTGGGCTGACAATGAGTGGGTGGAGAGCTGGGTGTAGACAGTCAGTCCTCTTGGGTTCGGGTAACAGGAGGGTCTCACTAGAGTTGAGGCCAGTCAGCTCCCCTGGCCCACATTTTGAGATAACAGTGATTCTAATAGCAGCATGAACACAGCTGTCCATGGAGGGTTTTTTTGCAGAAAATTAATTGCATGAAATTTGTGAACAAGACTCCTTATAAGGATGAAAATATGATTTCCCATTCAGTTCTTTATAGAATGCCTAACGGACACTTTTAACACTTAAATCCAGACTCTTTCACACATAGTGTTGGGTAAGCACAGCGAGGCTTTCTTAGAGATTTCCTTTGGAGAAGCAGCCGAGCGGAACCAATGCTGAGTCCCTCCCTCCTCCCTGAAAGGAGTCTCCATGCCCAGGGAGCTCAGATCAGCCCCCTCGGTTCTCCCAGCTCTCCTGGAAAAGCTAACGATGGTGATATTAGTAAGGCTGCCCGGCCGGCGTGGCTCAGCGGTTGAGCGTCAACCTAGGATCCAGGCGATCGGGTTTCGATTCCCGGTCAGGGCACATGCCCGGGTTGTGGGCTCGATCAATGACTCTCTCATCATTGATGTTTCTATCTCTCTCTCCCTCTCCTTTTCTCTCTCTGAAATCAACAAAGATATATTTAAAAAATAAATAAATTAAATTAAATTAAAAAATATTAGTAAGGCTGCTGCTTGCTCTCTATATGCCAGGCGCTGTTCTAGAGCCATAAGCAGGGCCTCTCTTTTAAGAGAACCCGTGTCTCTTTTGCAGCTGTGAGGACGATCTCTCCGAGGACAGAGAGGAGCTTCTGCACGGGATTTCCGAGCTGGACATCAGCAACTCGGATTGCTTCCCATCCCAGCTGCTAGTGCACGGGGCCTTGGCCTTCCCCCTGGGGCTGGATACCTACCACGGCTGTGTGATAGCGGCTGCCCGCTATGGCCGGGGCAGGGTGGTCGTGATGGGCCACAAGGTGTTGTTCACCGTGGGGAAGCTCGGCCCCTTTCTGCTCAATGCCGTGCGCTGGCTGGACGCGGGCCGCCGAGGCAAGATCGTGGTGCAGACGGAACTGAGGACAATGAGCGGCCTGCTCGCAGTGGGGGGCATCGACACCAGCATCGAGCCCCATCTCACCAACGATGCGAGTGTCTACTGCTTTGAGCCCGTGAGTGACGTGGGAGTCAAGGAGCTGCAGGAGTTTGTGGCCGAGGGCGGGGGACTGTTTGTCGCCGCCCAAGCCTGGTGGTGGGCCTTCAAGAACCCCGGAGTGTCCCCTCTGGCTCGCTTCCCAGGAAACCTCCTCCTCAACCCCTTGGGCATCAGCATCACAAGCCAAAGCCTCAATCCGGGGCCCTTCCGCACCCCGAAAGCCGGGATAAGGACCTATCACTTCCGCTCCACCCTGGCCGAGTTCCAGGTCATCATGGGCAGAAAGAGGGGGAATGTGGAAAAGGGGTGGCTGGCGAAGCTGGGGCCCGACGGCGCTGCGTTCCTGCAGATCCCTGCGGAAGACATCCCCGCCTACATGTCGGTGCATCGGCTCCTGAGGAAGCTGCTCAGTCGGTACCGCCTGCCAGTGGCCACCCGAGAGAACCCGGTCATCAATGACTGCTGCAGGGGTGCTATGCTCTCCCTGGCCACTGGGCTGGCCCACTCTGGAAGTGACCTGTCTCTGTTAGTCCCAGAAATCGAAGACATGTACAGCAGCCCCTACCTGCGCCCCTCAGAATCTCCTATCACCGTTGAGGTCAACTGCAACAATCCAGGTGTGGAACGAGGGGCGGGAGCTCAGTGTTGGGGGACCTGCTGACTTAGCTCGCTGCAGGGACCTGATCACCTCCAGAAGGCCGCCTCCGCCCTTTGCCATGAGCTTTCAAGGAGATAGGGGTTGGGGCATTAGGTAATGTTTGCAAGAGTTGAGTCGGGGCAGCATGGAGGGGGAGAGGTGCGCAGAGCTCATGAGGGGGCTGCGGAGATGCTGGGCGGAGATGGGACCATGGAGGGGGGGTGAAGTCTGTCCTCCTGTGCTTTCGACAGGCACCCGATACTGCTGGATGAGCACCGGGCTGTACATACCTGGAAGGCAGATTATAGAGGTGTCCCTGCCTGAGGCTGCTGCCTCGGCCGACCTGAAGGTAAGGCCACGGCCCCTCCCCGGGAAACGTGGAGCCCGGGTGCTCTTGCTTCCACAGTCGGCATCTTGCTTGAGCCTCATAAAAACCCTATGGGCAATAGGGGGCGAGTACTTTCACCCCCATTTTAAGGGTGAGGCATCAAAGGTGCAGAACGGCTCATGGATTGATTGAATGTGTAGATCTGATACATTTCAGGGCCCAGGACGCAAACCTAACCACCTTCTCACCCTGAAGTGCTGTGCGTTTCACTGATGTCGCGGAGTAGGGGGTAGGCGAGGTGCGGCGTGGAAGGCGCCTAGCACACTGTGGTAGTCAGGAAACCCTAGTTCCCTTTCCATCCCACACGCATCCCCCGCTGTAGCTTACGGCTCTTCTGACTCCGGCTTCTCCGTGGGACGCCAAAGTCTGTTCCTTGCTGGCCCTGTCCCCTCTCAGCTCTGTCACTTGCACATACACACACCCTAGTCACAAATTAAGTTGCCATACTGCTCTGTCTCCCTTGAGGGTCGCTGTGACAATTAGGACCTATCCTCTGCCTGCAGCTATCCTGGAACTTGATTAGCATAAACCCAGAAAACAATTCCAGGACTCTAAGGAGTGACTCCAATTCCTGGGTCACTCCATCAGCCCAGGAAGGAAGGCCTCGGAAATTGGGAGGAACTGAATCAACCCTCCACTACATCAGCAGGTCACACCGCCAGACCCCCTCCACCCTGTTACCAACACCCGAGTCCCCGCCGTGGAACACCTGGGGCCCCTCACATCAGCGTCTCAGCATCACCCTAGTGGGCTGTGTGACTCCCCTGGGAAGATATTTGCACACGATTCGGTCCATACCCCCTGAGGGCTGATGCAATTCCATAGGTTTAGCACACACGGTTCATAGGCGGGAGGAAAGCTGGGGTCATATAGCCCTGTGCCCTTCCTGTCCCCACCTCATGGCTGCTATACTCTCCCACCGCACGCACCCCGAGCTGACTCTGTGGGGGGATCTCTGCTCCAGGTACAGATTGGCTGCCACACTGACGACCTGACCAGGGCCAGCAAGCTCTTCCGGGGCCCACTGGTGATCAACCGGTGCTGCTTGGACAAGCCCACGAAATCGATCACCTGCCTCTGGGGCGGCCTCCTCTACATCATTGTGCCCCAGAGCAGCAAGCTGGGCTCCGTGCCCGTCACTGTGAAGGGGGCTGTGCATGCCCCGTTCTACAAGCTGGGTGAGTGGGGGCCGTGGGCCGAACCCTGGGGCCGGCAGAGCTGGGGGGACGGGTCATGGGGGCTGTTTGTTGCCCGAAGAGAGAGATTGGGATTGGAGGAGGGAAGGAAGGCAAGCCTCCTTCAATTCAGCTTTGGTGCCAAGGAGATAGACCAAACCACATCCATGGGGACGTCACAGAAGAAGGCTGGAGGGGGGACGCGGTTGTTCATGACCTTGGTGTCCTCCTGGGGTTCAAGTTATAGGTTTCAACCCAAGGGATCTGGAAAAGGGCGCTTCAAGCCCATGGCCTCTCTTCCCAGGGGAGACATCCCAGGAGGAGTGGAAGAGGCGTCTCCAGGAGAATCCAGGTCCCTGGGGAGAGCTGGCTACGGACAACATCATCCTGACAGTGCCGACCGCCAACCTCCGCACGCTGGAGAACCCGGAGCCACTGCTGCGCCTCTGGGACGAGGTGATGCAGGCTGTGGCACGGCTGGGCGCCGAGCCCTTCCCCTTGCGCCTGCCCCAGAGGATCGTTGCTGACGTGCAGATCTCAGTAGGTGGGTGCCCTGGTCCAAGCAGCCCCTGTGCATGCTGCCCCTAAGGGACTTCCTTTCCCCCAACAGCCATGCGGTGGGCAGCCCACAGGGTGAACATGCTTTTCTAGCAAGACATAGAAGATGCAATCCTTGCTATTTAAATGAAAAGAAAAAGCGTATTTTAGAAAAGCACAGGCTCGGCAATTTCCTTTCACACAAAAATTGGAAACTACTTAAATGTCCTATGATTATGGAATGGTTAAGTAACTCATTGTGTGGGACCTCGATGGGCATTGAGGAAGACATGTAAAGCAATATTTTGATGGCATTTTACCAGTGGGCCAAGAGGCCTAAATAATTGGGGGTAGGGGGGTTCTATAGAAATTAAAGAAGCATGGACATCACCCTAGACCCTAGTTTTCTTGCTTACGTAGGTGATCACTGTAAAGTAATGTTAATGTGGGCAACTCCACATCTAAATAATGAGAGAGGACACCCTTATTAAGTTCTTAATTTTGAGAAAAGAGTATAATGAGATGGGTTCCCATGGGCAGGGCACTCTCATAAACATGGGAAAATTGGATAGTAACATGAACTGTGCTTTGGGACTTGTGTCACCTCCCGTAAGCACAAGCTCTCGGAAAATGAGGAGGAAGGCCCAGGAGGGTCTGGGTTTGCATTGCCTTCTGAGCAGGACAGGGCTCCGGAAGTCATTGGGGCCACTGGGTATTTTGGGAGATGCAAAACAGAGAAGAATTTTGTGGGATGTGTGGGGAGCACTCTAACCCTCCTCCCTCCCCTGTCCCACAGGCTGGATGCACGCAGGGTACCCCATCATGTGCCACCTGGAGTCGGTGCAGGAGCTCATCAATGAGAAACTCATCAGAACCAAGGGGCTGTGGGGCCCAGTCCATGAGCTGGGCCGCAACCAGCAGCGGCAGGAGTGGGAATTCCCACCGCACACCACTGAGGCCACCTGCAACCTTTGGTGTGTTTATGTGCACGAAACGGTCTTGGGCATTCCTCGAGGCCGTGCCAATATCGCCCTGTGGCCCCCAGTTCGGGAGAAGAGAGTCAGAATCTACCTGAGCAAGGGTCCCAATGTGAAAAACTGGAATGCGTGGACAGCACTGGAAACGTATTTACAGGTATACTAGGCAAAAACGAGGGGTGATGGGAGCCCCCTGCTGTGGGGACGCCAGAGCATCGTTGTTAGGTGATAGTCTTGTAACCCAGGAGACCTCCCACGACACCTGTCTCCCACACTAGGCCTCAGGAGACCCTGACAATGCGCGATGTGACAGTCCTATTAGACGATCCCTCTCAGTGCATCATTTTCATGACCCCAAGCGGACTTAACTGCCTCAGCCCCACCCTCAGCCCATGAACTTGAGATGACTGAGAATAGGCCGGAAGCACTGAGAGGTGAAGACGTGGTAGAGGCACATGTGCTATAAATACAGTTACTGTCACGGGCTTTAGACCAAGACATAACTGAGATGGAAGCCAAACTATGCTATTTAATAGGTATTAAAAACCAGCCAGCCACCCCCACACGCACACAATATATGGGATAGGACCTACTTTTTCCCCTCAGATGAGTATACCATCGTCTCATGGTGACTTGGCTGTGCCTCAGTTCCACCTTATGGGCAAGCCAGGATTCCTCCCTGGCCTGGACATGGAGGGTGCCTTTGCCTCCTAGCATTCAAACGGCCCAGCTCTGCCCCTGAGCCGCTGGATTCGTTCCCAGCTCCGTATGGAGTTTCAGCACCTCAGATTCTGAAACTCAGTCACAGGCCAGGCTTTTCCGCCTGCTCGAGTTCCTCTGTTCATTCCCATGGCCATGAGAAACTGCCAGGGGACTCTACTTAAACTTGTCAATGGGGCCACTTCACCCGAGGAACAGAAGTTCCTCATCTGTGAAGTAAAGTTGAGGCTGTCCTAGGGAACGGCTAATGTCCTTTTTCATGCTAAAGCTCCGTAACCCAGCCTAACACGGGCTGTCTCCAGTGGCCTCAGGATGGCTGCCTGCCCCTAAGGTGATGCTCTGGTCTTGAGCCACCTAGACTATATGTAGTTTTCTGCTTCTACCAGACTCACTTTTCCCCCCAAAGGCCATTTTAGTTGCCTTGGAAATTGACAAAGACCTATGATTAATGAAGATTATGTCAGGATAGGAGTAGGAGTTCCCCAAATATTGAGGTTTAACTTTGTAACTATGAAAGATTTAAGGTTTTGTTTTTTTTTTGCCTCAGCCCATTTTAAATCCTTGTATAATATCTTATCTCCACTTTCATGACCTAGTGAGATATATGAATAATGATATTGATGGTAAATACTGATAATGATCATTGCAGTTATTACCATTGCAGTTATTAGCCATCGTTTACTGAATGTCTACTTTGTGCCAAGCCCTGTGCTATTCAAATACAGGAGAATAGGGCATGTGGCCAGCAGGTAAAACAAGAGAGAGGGTCCGCCAGAGCCATGAAACTAGTGTTGAAGGGTTTCCGTGCAGTCAATTCATTTCTCAGTGTTGGTTGGGTCTTCTGGTTATGGACTGCCTGTCTCATCCTGCCCTTCCTTCTCCTTCCAGCTCCAGGAAGCCTTTGGCTGGGAGCCCTTTATCCGTCTCTTCACCGAGTATCGGAACCAGACCAATCTGCCCACTGACAACGTTGACAAGATGAACCTGTGGGTGAAGATGTTCTCCCATCAAGTGCAGAAGAACCTGGCTCCCTTCTTTGAGGCCTGGGCCTGGCCGATCCAGAAGGAAGTGGCTACCAGCCTGGCCTACCTGCCTGAATGGAAGGAGAATATTATGAAATTGTACCTCCTCACACAGATGTAAGGAGTGCCCAGCGAGGTGGCAGGTAGAGAGGTGTGGGGAGGTAGACAGAGACGGGGATTCACTCCTCGACCTGTCTCTTAGGGCTCTAGCCTTGTCCTCTGGGCTCAATGCCCTAGTTCTGACTCTAGAAAGTAGGTTAAGAACACAGTAAGAAGGTACAGTCAGAATTTCTCAGGGGCAAGGCCCTCTGTTTATGAGTCCTGTTCCTCAGCTCTCAGCTTTCAGATTGCTCCTGACCCTGTTTGGGCCAGTTTTGAGAGCTTCGGCCAGCCCCTGTGTCTGTGCTAACTAACCCTTGGTTCTCCATCATGGCCATAGCCCACAGAGAGTGGTTCTTGCCCTGACACCTTGAGGACTCGCTGGGTTTTATTTTTGATGAATTATTCCAAAAACCCTGCCCTTAGAACCCAACTGAAACACAGATTTACCATCAGGTCCCTGAGGACTCATATATTTTCTGTCCTGGATAGTTTTTAAAGAGCTTGAAAGGCAATCTGGTGAAATAGAGCCCATAGCTAGGGTCAACTCTTGGGAAAGTCGTTGTATTTTGGCATTCCCATTTCCCGTGTATGAGATTAGGATAAAAATTTCTGCCCCACAGGGTTGTCATAGAGACTCAGTACTTCTGAAGAGGTTTGTGAGTACAGCACATGCTGTCCAAGGGATTGCCTTGTTTCATGCTGGCTCTCAGAATAGGGAGCTATTTCCCACAGCCTAGAGGTTAAGATCATCATCTCTCACAGTTGACTCCCTGCCTCTAAATCCTGGCTCTTTCACTGTTATTTGTAATACTCTAGGCAAGTTCCTTAACTTCTTTGTGACTCGATTTCCTCCTCTCTAAAATGGGGTCTGTTTCATAGGATTATTGTGAGGATTAAATTTTAGTGTCTCTAAAAGTGACTAAAACAGTAGCTGGCAGTTAGTAGGTACAGAGAAAATGTCAGCTGCCATTGTTATCTACTTAACTCACTGTGGTTGGAGAGCTCGACTTCATTGTCAGAGGGCTTTTACAGATGCAGCGTAGTTAATCCTAGGCCGGTCTACACTTCCTACACCAAAGGAATCTGGTAGGTTGCATTACTATCTAAAGGAAGGGCTCTAAATTCACAGAGTTTTACAAGCTACTTAGGGTTTGGTCTCTGGATTCAGTTCCATTGTTCGGGTAGAATTACTTCTTTGATTAAATAAAGAGTGGAGGTCAGTTGAAAACCCAGAAAAGGTCCACGAGGATGCTTGTCTTTAGCAAACAATGGGCATCCGGCTCAGTGTTGGCATTTATATTTCTGTAGTGACACAGATTTCTATCACTGTCACGAGTTACTGGTTGGCAAATAAAGTTCACATACAGATAGAAATCTTTACTTTGGAACAAAAGAACTAGATATAGCTGACTCGAATTTCATTTAATTGCAACAGTTCAAAGATTTTCTTAAATTTTTTTCTAATCACATTCAGAAGCTCCCATTTCTTTGAATTAAAAATGTATTTCTAATGAATTTCATCTAGAGTTGAATTAATGGGAGGATTAACGTTGTGTACATCCAGCCAGTTTTCTTTTAGCTCACTTCTTTTTTTTTTAGTTGTTCTAATACGCCATTATTGGAAATTGAGTGGATGCATAGATGATTAGATTTGACCTAGATAATGGGGGTTTTTGGATTATTTTTATCATGACATTTCTTACTCATAGAATTATTTTCCCTTATTTCATGAATATCATATAGGTGCTTTAAATATACATATTGAATATCCATTCAACCTTTAAAATAATTTCTGTCCATTAGAGGGGTGTAAAGTACATGCTGAGTATTAGACTGGTTCCTTTTCATAGATCATTTCATTAAATCCTCACAGTAATCTTATGAGCTGGAAATTTACCACTCCTTTTTTAGGAATGATCGAACAGAATTTTATGGAGGGCAAGTGAAGTGCCAAAGACTACATTGGTAACAAGTGATAGGGTTGGGGTGCAAACCTGGGCATTCTGATTATAGTGAGTGTGAGCAACTACAGTGCTTTGAATAACCAAATTAAGAAATCAACCAGCAAACAGGGAAAACTTTATGTCCCTCCTTGCCAGCACTAATTTTATCAGAACAGAAAGTCTCTTTGTTTATCCCAAATTCCAGTTCAAAGGAAGAATTTGAGGTAGGCTCCTGAGGTGATTCCCAATAGACAGAGCTGGGATGATCCCTTTAGTGTCACCCAAGTCTTTTGTAGGTTTCAGGTTTTTCAGATGCCAGTCCTTACCTCTAGGGCACCATGAAAGCGTTCTACTAGCTTATTGGATTTTGAAGAATGGGTTATTTCGGTAAAGGGCCTGACTCCCCAAAGTCCCAGACATTACATATTCTTAGAAAGGGAATTAGATCCTCAGTTATTTAGAATAATACTTATATCTATTCTTGCCCTCTTTAATCCATTTTCAGCCTTACAGCCCCGGGGAAGTTTTAGAAATGTAAAGTTAGCTCCCCCCCCTTTTTAAAAACTTTCAATGGTACTTTGAAGTTAAGATGATGAACTGAACATATAAGTTTACCTCCCCTCCCTCTCCAGGCCCCACTGAAATTGAAGTCAAAGAAAACTGAAGGCATTTGGGGTTGAGTGAAGAAGACAGCAACACATTTCTGGAAGAGAGAAGGTGGACGAACTACGAAAAAGAATGAAAGAGTGAAGGTACCTTTCAGACAGAATATAAGCTAATCTGAACAACATAACCCCAGAGAGACTTGGACACCTAAAAAGTTTACCCACTAAAGAGTTATTACCAGTTGTAAAATTGAACCCCATCCCATTCTACCCCATCCTTTGTGCATAGAACACAGGCAGTCAACTATTGGTACCAGTGAAAAAATCTGTTGTTGCTGTTGTTGTTGTTGTTGTTGTTTATATAAAGTAAATGAATAAACTGCCTGGGGAGAGGTAGGAGTTGGTGCTCCAGAATGCAATTTCTCTTTTCGTGGAAATAAGTGACCCCCTAGCCTATCAGTTAATTCTCTACTGTCAGTTGAGACACCCTACCCAAGTAACCAAGTGTTTCCAGTCATAGATGAGGCTTACTGGAAAAACAGACCAAACCATACGATGGCAGAGGAAACCCATACCAACTCCTATAAAAGTCAACCATTATATTGATGCTTAAATGCAGATGGTTTTCAGCTAGGAATTCCCAGACATTGAGCATTGGGGAGGGTGGGAGAGTGGGAGGGAGAACCAGGGGAGAAGCATGTAAGAAAAAATTACCAATTAGAATTAGGAGATTTGAAAACCACAACCAGTTCTGGAGGAAACAAAGTTAAAGTGGAAAAAGTAACTTCAAAATCTACGTATATCTTCAGAAAGTTCTGAGGTATATTTGTAAGATGAAAACAGGATGTTACAAAGAAAGGAAAAACTCTGAGAATAAAGAGAGCCCTTTGAGAGTGAAATAAGATTGTCAAAAATACTCCATAGACAGGCTAGAAATAAAGTTCAGGGAATCTCTCTAGATATAGAGCAAAAAGAAATAGCAGAAAATATGAAGAAAAGAAAGACCTAGACAATCAATATCTAACCATTAGTGGTTTCTGGAAGAGAAAGCCAAAAATATAGGTGAAGAAAAAATAATTGAAGAACAGAAAGAACTAAGTCTCCAGATTCCAGGGTCCCCAATAAAACCAACATCGAGACACAATCTTGTGAAATTTTGGAATATTAAGGATAGAGGGAAGACATTAAAAGTGCCCAGAGAGAAAATAAAATTAGATCAGCATAACTAGCTCAGCTAAAAAAGGACAAGAAATAGACTGGCAGCAGATTTTTCTTCAGCAATACTGAAAGCTAAAAGCCAATGGAGCAATGTCTTCACATACCTTACTGAAAACTTTGTGCCCAGAATTCCATAGCAAGCCAAGCTGTCGAGTCAAACCAAAATAAAGATATTTTCTGACATGCAAGTTTCCAGAAAGTCTACCTTCTCTGCACCCTTACTAAGGTAGTACTTTGAGGAAGTTCTCCAGCAAAATGAAGATGAGAACCGAGAAAGAAGAAGAAACGAAATCTAGGAAATGATGGCCCTCACCCGGGATGTGTCACTCTAGAGTGACACTTATCCAACAGGATGTCTCACTATAGAGTGACAGTTAGTTATCCAGCAGACATACCCAGTTCAGATAAGGATACAGTCTCAGGCTCTCTGGGAAGAATGTGCATTGTGTGCCAAGGATAGTATCACTGAGAAGCTGGAATGTTTGAGAATGTGGAGAACATATATTCTTTAGTCAACAAATAAGAAAACAAAACAAAAATATGTCAAGAAATTTAAGTCCATTTCTGAAACAACAACAAAAAATACTCGTGGAATTTAAGAAGAGTCTCGATTTTACATTGGCGGTAGGTATATTTCCTTCCATGTGGCACAGGCATGACATTGGATATACGTATATGGAAGAAAATGTCCTAGCTTCTACTTGGCTCTCAAGAAACAGTATTTACCTAGCCAAAATAATGTAGATGCTATTTATTGGTATTTAGTGTTCTGATCAGCCTATAGACAAAACACGAAAGGGTTAATTTTTTATTCAGAAATAAAATTGAAAGTAATTAATCCTGACAAGTTAAAGAAAAAGAGAACAGAAAGAGCTGCAAATTACCTGTGGGAAAAGAGGTGGAAGGAAGAGTAGGACTACTTATCTATTGAAAGTGGGGATGAAAAAAAAGTCTACAGTTGATGGAACAAGAACTGGAGGATTGGTATGCTGTTCAAAGCTATAAATTAAACCAATAGAAGTATTAAAATGATATCTATCAAAAATTTGGGGAAAGATAGGCAAAGGAAAAGTGGGGATAGTGTAAGTCAAATTCTTATCTTTTGTAATGGTGTATTATTAAAGATTGTCTAAAGTTAATAAACCAAGAAATTATTCAAACATATTATTTAATGTTAGGAAGCTAGTCAACGGAAGATCTAAAAATAGAAATTGTTAAATACATTGCCTCTAGGGTATGGGACTAGAGTTAAAAAGGGTGGCGGGGGGAACCGTGTTTTTCATTTCAAGTCCTCTGTACTATTTAATTTTTTACCTTGTGCATGTATCACTTTGAAAAATTTTTAATAAACTCAAATAAAAATCCTTCAGTGGCTTCACGTCGAATAAGATACAGTCCAACCAAAACCCTTAACATGGCTTATAATGCACTCAAGTGTTTGGATTCCCCCAGTGTGTCCTGGTTCATGATATCTCCACATTACTCTCTAGTTCCAGCCACACTTAATGTCCTCCAACTATTCAAACACACTTCACCTCATTCCTGCAGATGTTCCACGAAAACAAAGCCTGCCTCTGATCTCATGGGCCTGATGATTAAGCTCACAGTCTAGCAGATTTTCCATATTTGTTGAGCGAATGAATGCACAATAGGGTGTTGTGTGAAGATTGCCAACTAGTTCTCTTTCCCAAGAAGGCACATAATATTTGTCCTAATTCCAGTATTATTTCAAAATGATATGGAGCTGTAGGCTTTCCTGCACTCCAATTCATTGGACAGTTTTATTGAGGTTTAGTCTTACACGAGACCAGATGGTGTCAGAGGATTTCTATCCGTCAGCCTCTTTGGCATGTTCTTTGCCACTTTGCCCAAACATCATAATCTGTTTTCAGCTATTTTCACCCCCTGTATTTAGGAGAAGCAGTCAACTATCTAGTGGAAATCTTTAGGCTCCCAAGTTTCTTGTGTCCTGCTATTCCTTGGTGGCTGTTTCTTCTCCATTAGTCTACTGTCTTCTAGTGTCTAACTCCCAAGGCTGACTAGAGCTCTCTAATGAGTAGTATTAGCCTTACAGCCAATCTTCAACAGCTGCATTTATTGGAATTCCTTCTGATCTCTTCCCCATAAGATTAATCTCTGATCTATTTCATCCTTAAACCAACGTCCCCACCTAATGTAAGTATTTAACAGGCCAATAGCTAACCAGGTACAGCCATAGATGTTGACTATTTTTGCTGACAAAAGTAACACCCTTCTTTCAAGACTACTTCACACCTCTGTGCTTTACTCCTTTAAAGCTTTCAGGCCCTACTTGGCTTCCACTTGAAACGAATTTCTTTCTTTGACCCACACATTGGAGTCAGTCTCCCAAGTGTGGTAGAGAAGGGTGGGAGTGATAACTCAACTTTTCAGAGATCTAACTACATGTGCACACAAACAATTCCACATACAATTCAAGAGAGCTATAGAAATGCTGCTTATGCATTTGGATTCTTGTGCATTTAGATGCTATAAAGAAGCAGCGTTTCTTTAATAGGCCAGATTAATCTATAATTAATGAATAGGAAAACATGGGCGGTTTAAGTTATTACCTATGTTCAGCAATGAAAGGCCTGGTCTTACATTTTGATGTGTAGAGTAGTGGGAAACTTAGAGTCGGTTATTCTTGGCTTCTCATTTCATATCCTCCCTCCCTTCCCCCACCAAGCTGAATGATGTTCATTTGATCTCAGTTAAAATTAAGACTTTGGATCACAATTCTCGATGATAATGGAAAGCCTTGGGAAGAAAGTCAATGTCACAGGAACTTTGGAATAAACCAATTTGGAAAGAATTGTTTATATTTGCAGGAAAAAAAAATAATGTTGCTGGTAACACTAGGAACTGTCACACATTCTTTCTCTGTTAGGAATTTTGTCATAGAGATATTTGATCGTCCATGACTCCCAATCCCCACACACTAGCACCTCTGGCATCTTGATATCTGCAACCCTTATAGAATTATATGTGAAGGCATATAAGCCACACGGGTGTGGGTGCAATTATAGGAAACTGGATCTATTGTGTGCCTACCCAATGGGTCTGATATTTCAGAGCCAGAGGGAAAACATCCACTCAGCCTTAGGCTAAGTCAGTTCCACTGGCTTCCAGACGACTGACATCTTCAGTACAAAACCAAACTTAGTGTTTAAAACCTGGGGCTGGGAGGAATTGAGAAATATAAGAAGACCCCTCCCTTGTTTCTTACTGGAGGAAGAGAGGTTCAGCATGGCTGTCTCTGGAATGGCAGTGATAGATTCCAAGACATCCTCTGTGACTGGAATATCATTGACTCCTAGAATATATGTTCCACATACTTATGATCCAAAAAGAGAATACAGGCCCAGGATAATTTCACAAATACACCACAGGAGAATATGAATGTTTTCATAACTGAATTAGGATTGGCCACCTGTCAAGAGAAGCAGCAAACTTCAGCTTCATTGCTTTCAATAACTAGGCAGACAGGAATTTGCCCTCAGAGATGGGCAATGCTATAATTTGAACAAAGGTTATCACACACATCTTAGAGAATGGAAATTGTAGTGAATGTGTCTTTCATAAATATTCTCAAGTTTATGACTTTGCTCTTTATTCCTACCATAACAACACAATTTTAATAAATACACTTGAGCGTTTTAGTGTTAGGAGATATAACAGTACTTGTGTTAATCTGGTCCTTCAAGAGGCAGAAGCCAAGATGAGATCAAACGTGCTGGAAGAGCCACCCGACTGATATGTGATGCGGGAGAGAGTGAAGGAAGGAAAGGCTTACAGTGCAGCTCTCAGAAAGTTTGGTCAAGGCCAATGGGGGGAGGGGGGGCTTGACCCAAAGCCACCCATCAGAAGAGTCCCATGTCTCCCAGAAATAGGCCTACCTTAGTAACCCCACCACACTTAATCACTGGCCAGAAGAAGTCCCTGGGCAGCTTGGCCTTGGCGCCCAGGATTCCAGAGCAACCAGCTGGGGCCGTCTGTCAGTTCCAAACCTTGCATTTGGAGATCTGAGCAGACCATGTTCGTGGCCACCACAGCACTTATTCTTAAAACAGCTGTAGACACCTGTTCTTGACCATCTTAAATAGTGACTTCGTCAATGTCCCCAGTGACTCATGCCAGTAAGTGCACACAGGTGGACTCATCCATCTCTATTCCTAAATTAGAGTGTGGCTAATCCTTCCCAGATTCTTGAGGGCCTTCGGGGAAAGAATATATGGGGCACATAAGTTTAACTCATCACTAAAAATAATTGAAGGAGGCCAGTCGTTCTTCACGTTAGCCCATAATTGGAAAGCATATGTATGAAGTAGCCTCTTTTGCATTTGGCTTAGTGAGAATTAATGAAGGGATTTTCTTCTGCTTGACAAAAATGGACTGATTTACAATAACAATTCTGGTTTGTGTATGCCTCTTGCATTTGCCAGACAATTAAGCGTCATATTGTTATGTACATTTATTGGTTGTAACCCAGAAAGAGCAGTGCAAAGGGTATGCATTAGCATGCCTGGATTAAGCCAATTCCTACCTAGCCTTGGAAATGGAAATGGCTCCATTTTCCCCTGCATCCTGTAAGGGCGAGGTGGGTTATCTGAACAGAGCTGGGGTTTGGTTAGAAATTCAGTAAGGGTGGAGTAGGGAACAGAGCTGAGGCGATGGCGTCAGTGTTTCCTACATGGCGTCTCTTAAGAACCTTTCTCCAGACTGTAGACCACGCTGCAGACCCCTTCATAGACCCTCAAAACCTGGCCCCGGGTCTCTTCAGAGCTAGTACTGTGTGAGTCCTGTCAACAAGTTTCATTCCCTGTGAACGGCTTGTCTTTCTCTTCACCAAGCCTTTCACTTCCCCGCCTCCCTGGTGTGACCGTGACGCGGCCTTCCACTGTAATGCCATCTCTGCCCACCAAGGTCATATAGACTTTTTCAAAGCTAAGTTTCAGTGTCGCCTTCTCTGAAGTTCTTCCCTGAGAGCTTGATTAGAAAGAGTTACTTCTTCCTTTCTGTTCCCTCGTATTTTGCTACCAATTTTGGCATCTACATGAACTGGTCTGATCTAGCTGTTCTCCTGTCAGCTCCCCTCCCTAGACTTATTGACCATAGGATCATCTCCATCTCTCAGAATGCCTCACCGAATATGTGCTCGGTGAGAACAGGCTGACTTTCATGGAGTAGTTTCTGTTTTCTTTTCAGTGTGATGAAAGGTCTGAGGTCTGCACCTCCACATGGGGAATGCCCCTTTGGTCAGAACCCATGCCAGTCACCATCTTTCGTTTCCAGGAGTGAACCAGGCCTTTATGCTGTGTCCTCTGTTGATTTGTTTCCATACTTTGGCCAATTCCTGCTCCCAAATGGCAGGTGATGATGGGCTTGCTTCTGCTCTCTGACCCTGGAAAAAATCACCTTTGCTTGAAGCTCTTTCTTATATTAGATCAACACCAAGATACACTCAGGAGTCTTTAGAACAATAGTGGTCCTTTCCCACACTGACATAGGTAGGGACCACTTCAAACCTATGAGCACAAACACACAAAAGAGACCCTGAGCTCAGTGTTTGACATGTGATATTTCTGATCCACTCTCTCTGTGTCCGTCTCCCACTTGGCTTCCCGAAGGTCAACTGTTTCCTGGTACAAAACCTAGGATCTCAACTAACTTCCCCTCACACTGGGCCCCCGCCCTGGGTATTTGAAATCCTGATGACTTCGTCCAAACCGCCTCCCGCGCGTAGGTTTCCCACTGCTCATTCTTTCCGAGCCCTCACGGCACCTGGTCCTGTGCCAAGCAGGTTCCCACCAGTCCTCCAAACACTCAGCTAATTACTCACTAATTCAACAGGATTTTCTTGACCATTCACTATATATTGATTCATTTATTCCACGTACATTTATATGTTTATTAAGACACGAAAGTCTCTGACGAGCCAGAAATGAAACCAGGCAATGAGGACCCAAAGGTGGGCAAGACGGAGGCAGACTCTACACTCATAGGATGAGATCCTACAAGAGAGACCAACATTAACCAGACGGTCATACAAATAAATATAAAATTCCAAGCTGCGTGAGCACTAAGGAGAGGGGTATCTGTTGTGGTCAAGAAGAGGCTTTGATTTAGTCTGTAGGTTAGGAAAGTCTTTTCTAGAGAAGTGGTGACTGAGCTTAGACAGGAAAAAGGAGTGATTTTCTAGGAGAAGGTAATTTCACCATCAGGAGGAGTGAGAGTTGCATATTGAGTAAACTTAAAGGGAACCCATGGGGCTAGAGTCCTGGGAGAAAAGAGGAACCACGGTTGTAAATCGGGCTGAAGAGCTCTGAGCAAGGGCCATCCCACGTGGAGGCTGGATATCTAGGTCAATAGCCTAAGGCAGGCCGGAGGCCACCACGTGGTTTCACGCAGGGAGTTGCCATAACCAGACTTGAACTTTAGAATGAATGCTAACTACAGCGTTTCTTCCTCTTATTATAGGAACACCAGTCATATTGGGCTCGGGCCCCGCCTCATCGGCCTCGTTTTAATTTAATCACCTCTCTAAAGACCTTCTCTCCAAATACAATTACATTCCGAGGTACCGAGGGCTGGGACTTGAACATATGAATTTGGGGAAATGGGGGAACACAATTCAGCCCATAACCAGAAGCAGCCAAGAGGTATTAAAATAAGAATCAGCACTTCATTCCTGGTTGTCCCCACTCTCAAAGAGAAGCAAACAAACCTGCTTTAAAATACTAAAAGTATGTTTTGATCAAGTTCCAAAGAGAAATACAGTAAAAATATAGCATCATGTTAATTTAAGGGAAAAGACTGCCAATGAACCAACCAGCACTGCCAAGTGTGCGCGGGAGGCAAGGTGCTAAGGATGGAGCATGACTTTGGAAGGGAATGAAGCCGTAGAAGCAGAGGCCGCACTGCCAAGGTTAGAACCTCCTAGGACCCTCCCACCTTCTCAGCTCTCAGGTGCCATTCCAGCAGCAGCCACTCTCTAGCTTTAGCCGTGGTTTCTGCAGCCAGGCACGGACCTGTCTGTTGGGCGATGTAACAGGCGCGTTTCCTTCCCAGCAGCAGCGTCGCTGGGCACCATTTCTGTGCATAACACCAGGCCCTGTTCTCTTAGCTGAGCTCCCTGCACCCCCCAGAACCGCCCCAGCACAGGGTGCGCGGCAGGTGCTGACCACCAGGGGGCAGGCCCGCAACGCAACGCAGGAGCTGCCGCGCGGCGGTGACGTGGCACCGGGGGTTCCAGGTTCTCCGGTGATGCCCCCGGGGACCCGAGAGGAGGGCGCCCGATTCCCCGCGGGGCCGCGCCCCATTCCGCCTTCGGCCCTGGGTTACGTCGTTGCTGGGGCGCTGTTTGCCCCAAATCTGGTTTACTGGAGACTTGGAGTTTGCGTTCCACTCCCAGGGCGACAGCAACCGGGCCGTGCGCCCTCGCGCCCTCCGGGACCCGTCGGGGGGATGTGGGAGAGCGGGTTTCGGCCCCGATCCCCGTAGAGGCCGAGGGATCCTGCCTCCCAGACACCCCCCAAGTGCGGCTGGCCCGGGGCGGGGTGGGGGTGGGGTGGAGG